AAAAGACAAACAAAATGTGGGTCATTGCATTGTGTTTTATCTACTGTATCTTATCTCTTAAAATCTCTAATTTAAACTATGATTTTTAAAGCAAAAACTATTAAATTTTTAGATATTTGAGTCACGGCTTTAAATTTAAAATTTAATGCGCCCCAAATTATGTAATCACAATTATCTTGTTAGCCAAGATAAATAGTAAAGAAAAATAAGAAATACAAGTTATCATTAATGTACATAACTTTTATTTAACATTATAAAAACTTATTTTTACTACTCAAATGAATACAAATTTGGTTTACTTATTTTTAAGTAGCTTCAAAAATATGCTCAGTCTTTATTTGATTTATCATACGAATTATTAAACTAAAATGTTTTTTAAACCCGTATACTTGTAAGAAATTTTCTGTCATTGAAGCTCAACATAGCTATAATAAATGCTTTAGCATGTTTTTTTGACGTTTGTTTTTCCACATAAACTGTTCACTATATTATTTGTGAACAATTGAGGGATACATATATTTTTCCTCTGCGCGGCAGATGGAACGCACGTGTGGCGCTGGGCGATAATTAGACGAGCTGCGTCCGCGTTTGTTTATGCAAATCGGGATACGTAATAACTCAATTAGATGTTGCAACTCGCGACCAGTTGGAGGGCTCCTTTTCCTGATTGCTCGAATGCGGGCAAGTGGCACATTGACCGGGCGAACTGCTCACATCGCCATTGAGTGCCGGCTGTTTTGTGGGTTGTGTTGTGTATGGGGTATGGGTTTTTAGCTTTATTGATGTCCCGCTGCTTTGTGGCGGACAATTGTCGTCATCGACAGGCGACCTCGTCGTTTAATTGTAAGTGAAACTACGCTTCGTTGTCGTTTGTGCTTGCTATGTGGCATGGCACACTCTCCATGTGTTGCCAGTATGTGAAGCGAGTTTCCCCCATTGTGCGAGGTCAACAACCAGAGAGATACGACGACCACCACTCGACGTCGTCATACTCCGCCAATCCAAGTGCTGTCTCTAGTGCACCACTGTCTTTCTGCATTTTCATTTTTTGTCCCCCGAATGCCGCGATTGCGTTGCATCGGAATCCGCGGCTGTTGACAAAATAAAGCACACTTTAATTGATACATTTGCATTTTATTATAAATGCAGCGCTTGTACGGCGCTAGCAATGAATATTTATGCAGCTTTTATGGGTCAGTGCAGCGGCGTTGCAGCTGATAAATATTTGCCAGCATCTGGCAATCGATGACAGCCAGCACGAGCTCTGATATCGATTACATGCGAACAGGTGCTGCTGGGCCAGAAATTAATAATTCAGATTCGTTGCGTTGCATCTCTGTAGTTAATTTGCCGGACCGAATATGGTCGAAACAATCACGGGGTCGTCAAATGGCAGTACACGCATCAAGTGATTTCAGTACTTGTTAGGAATTATAGGCTTTCAATGAATGCTTGTGGATCTAATGTAGGTTTAAGATCAGGATAAGTAAGTCATTTGACTTAAATAAAACCAATAAAGATTGGTTTAAATGAGATCAAGGTCCCATTTAAAAACTCTTATTTTTAAACCACTGATGGTAATTTCTGTAATTAAGATAATACACAAATCATGGGCGAACAATTGTTACTTTCGGTAGAAACTTGAGCTCTACAACTGGCTGTACATGAATAAGCTTCTAACCCTGTTCTCCGAATGCAAAGTATTTATTTGAGATAAACCTGCGGCCAAATACCAATCAGTGGTCATGTGTAAACACTCGCATATCTGCCAGAAATCAGCGGCCAACACATTAGATCCCAGCTGGAGCTGGCGTTGAAGGTTGTGTATGCTTTGTCGGCGGAGTTTCTATGTGATCTGATCTCACCAAAAAAAAAAAAAAACAGGCGAACCCAACTGCAGCGGAGCCAGTCACATGACTAACCCCTCGGAGTTCGTGGTCTGGGACACGAAAGTTAGGTGGGGTTCCGGATCACCTTGCTGGGAGCAGAGCTTATCGGCGCTCTGCCTGCGAGGTACTCCATTTTGCGTGTGAAATTCAATAAGTTAAAGCGACTGACTGCAGGCTGTTTAGCATAGAAAGACAGAGACACGGGTCCACGAACCCCGCCAAACGATGCATATCTCTGTGTATATTGACTAAATTGTTTGCTGGGTGTGGCGCAAAATGCACGACAAAAGTGTTCGTGTTGTTCTCGTTGTTGTTGCTCTTGCTGTTGTTATTGCTGTTGTTGTTGATTTTCTGTTTGGTATTGTTTGGCATGTTGTAGTTCAATTTATGACGCTTGTATCGCTTGACTTTTGCGCAGGCGTTGAAAGCCCAACAACAAGCCGGCGTTCTCCGACAACAACTCCAAAATCAAATTGAGCTGCTGCGATATTTGGGCCGTTCTCCGTTTGTTTGCCGCTCCGCCAGACGATGTTTTATTCGATTTCGTGTTAATTTCCATTGAACACAATACGTCACAGTCGAAGGCCCAGCCACAGTTATGTTTCGTGTGTTTACATTTCCATTTAGTGTCCGACATCCAGAGATTGGTCTCAGGTCCCGGCTCCATTCGATCTATTTGGGCATGACAAGTTGTGCGATCGATTTAATATGTTTACACGGTTCGGGAAATTGATATGTCAAACAGTCGGGCGAAATGTTGCCTCTATTATCGTGAACTTCTTTGGGGGGAAAGCACTCAGCTCAATTCACACTGCAGACTGTGTTTTATTGCCCAAGTGGGGAAGTCGTTTCTCCGAATGGTATGTCTTAATTCAAGAACTTCCTACACGGCGAGACCCATTGACCTAATTTGCTTGCATTTTTATTGGGCATTGATTTGTGGGTTTCCCACAGTCGGACAGCTGAGTTATAGGTGCAACGACTTAATTTACGTATGCATTTCCATCCGCAAGTCAGTATTTGTTTGATTTTCAAAATCACAATTCAATTTTGTTGACTCATAACAATAAGGCTGATTGAATTACGCTTGCAGGGCAACTAAATTAACCAGAATTCAGTTTTTGTCATATTTTGAATATCATAATTGCATTATATTGACTCTTTGAAGTTAAAATGTTGCAGTAAATATTTACTCTGACATCGGCTAATAAAACATTTACAACTCTTAAAATAAAAATATAGTTCAATGGCTTTCGGAATGTGTAGGCAATTAACAATTTTAATTGACGGTTTACATGAAACTTTCACAATCGATAGCTAACCAAAATTATAATAAGCGGTATTTATTTAATGTAGCAATTTTTTTCACAATCAACACATTTAACGAGAGTAAAATGCCTAAAATACTCAAATATCAACCTACTTTCAATGCAAAACAGAATCGCATCTGTGTCCGTCAATATCCATTTGTTTTAATCGTTTGAAAGACCTCAATTCAAACGTTGTTCTCCAATATCAAATTCATTATACGTTGATTGTTCTCCAATCTCAATTCACACATTCGAGAACTGCAATTGGGCTAATTCCCATTCAATCGGTTGACCGCCGATTCGAACTCAATTGTCATACTCGTAATTACGCCCACTCGAGGGGGTTCTGCAGCTGGTATCCGTATCTGGTTTTTCTACTCGTATCTTTCGGATCGCTGGCAGCTAATTCTTCTGACAAGGCGCTAAGCAGCCGCGACAGCTCGCCGATTATCTCCGACAATTATTTGTTGCCTTCCGCCACGGCGCAACCTTGAAATTAAATATAATTATGAAAAGGCATTCCCATTCACGGGCCCATCGAATGATATTTCATATAGTTAGGCCGGCGACGTGCCTCAAATGAAAAATTATTTAAGATGCCGGCGCACGCACACTTCAAAAATAAAAATCCGAGCGCCGAATCAATAAAACCACCGACCGACCAACCAACCAACCAGACCCGCCCCCCTTCCTCGATTCCCCTCCGGATCTGCCCACGTTTTCCAGTCAACCAGCCAGGCAGCCTTTATTTATTTATTTTTCCCCCCTTTGTGTTTTTGCCCAGGCAATTATAATTAACTTCGCGGCAAGTTTTGATTTCTTCCCTGCCTCCGCTCTTTTTATTTTCTCCTTTTATTTGGCTCTTCGCCGTGCCCATGGGCTGATAATTTTGTTCGCACCTGATCGCGTTACTCAAAGATCGCGTTTTGTCTTCCCCACTCTACACAGGAAAAAAACATTATCTTAAGTAGCGATCTTTATGCTTTTTTGTTAAGTAAAGTTATGTCAATCATACGCCACTATAATGGATTTCAATAAAATATAAAATTGACAATAACGTTTTGATAGGAATAGAAAACAAAAAATACAAATTTGTGGAACTTTGGTGCTAATGAAATAGATTCCCAAAATTCTTAGGTATTAATGTCATCTTATTCTAAAGATCTAATAATTTATTCATATATTTAAGACATTTTTTCTCTGTATTTATTTCCCATCTTGTTTTCTGGAGAACCGCGCGTAGATCATTAAGAGAACTTGAAATCCAGACGCAGATCTGAAATCAGTCAGCATCTGCGGTTGCTCAAAACATGGTTAGTTCTCTTTCGCCCAGCCGAGGTTCTCGAAAGCCATTTCCCAAACAATGGAAACTTTCATTTGTCTTCGGGTTTTTACTTTTAAACCAGATCCAACGAAAGTACTTCAGGTCAGGTTAATAGGCTGGCCCTAATGGGTTAATGATTGCCGGCTGAGGGTAATTGGAAAACCTGTTTCAGATCCAAACAACCGATGATCAATAATAAGTTGGGCCTGGGATTTGCTTAAAGTGTGGCCGAGTTGAAGGGCCTAATCCCCTCGGACTTAGGACTCAAATCGTATTCTGGCATAAACGCAAAGCGAAAAGGGTTAACCTTTAAAATTTACAATGTCCTACGGCCGCTGTTTTATGACAGGCGGCCCACAAAAATAAAAGCTGCGAAATAACCGAAAAGAAAGGCCGAAAACGGCGCAACAAAGCAACAAACCAGCGGAGAAAGGATGGCTTCAAATGAAAATAAAACACAAACCGAAACCGAAACAGAAACAGAAACGGAATCTGGCAGCCAGCGAGGAAAATGGAAATGGCAGGAAAATTCAAATCACAAACTCGGTATTTATTTGCGAAGCGTAAATGATTACCACTTAAAATGTGCTCGACTGCCACCTAAAAACCAATTGTTGGAAAAAGCACAACCGACTTGGGGAGTGGGGTGATGGTTCGGGGTTCGCTGGAAGGACACGGGAGCAGAAGGAGTGAAAGGACCAAAGGCAACATATGTTTTTTATGCCTGAGCTGTCTAAGTGGATACGGGTGGAGCGAGACTGATGGCAGGGGGAAAGATGGGGCATGTTGGGCGAGAAAACTGCGGGACAGCTGCCAGAGCTTGTTAGAGTCTCCCAAAGGGGGAAATTCCCTGGCAAAGCGAAATATGGAATTCATTAAACGATTCCTTATATATAGAATAAATTGGATTGGAAAAGCAAATACCCTAAACAAAAGTGGGACGAAACTTGTTAAGCTGGGAAAGCGGGGCATTTAATTTGTGATTATTATTGGATTTAAGCTCTTGCATTACTGAATTCTTTTGAACTTGTTTGAACTTTGTTTCAGTAATAATTTACTTAAAGGAGAGTCTTGTTAATGTACGCTACTAAAATTATTGTGCTAAATTTGTGCAAAAATTAGTACTTTAGTTTAACCTGTTTAACAAAAGGTCGACTTCTAAAAATGTTCCTTTAGGGTAAAAAAAGTTATTTAATTTTTGTAGTCTTATTGAATATTATAAATTTAGAGTACAGAGTACATTTAAATTCGACCACGTAACTCAATGTCGTTAGCCATTGTGTATTTATCCATTGTCGCCATAACTTCTTGTACACTTTAAGACACCACGTGAACGAAAGAGAGAGTGGATATGCAAGGAGCAAAAAAGGGGGAAGACAGGACTCACAGACAAAACAAATATGTTAATGTATCTTACACCCAGCGACACGTATTGGTTTCAGTCTGCAATCGTTGGATCGCATATATAAGTGAGTTATTCCGAGGGGAGGCAGCTTTCCGGGGAGGCAGCTACAACAAATGGGCGGCCTGTGCCGGCGTCGCCTTTTTCCTGCCTTTTTATGGTCGTCACGGACCGCCCGCAGGACGAAAAGGATTGGGGGCGACCGCCCACGCTTCGTTTCCACCCACAATGCTGCACGCCCTGCTCGCACATTATTTTGCCACTTCTTCAGCTGAATTTGAATTAGATTTGTGCAGCGTCTGGCGCGCGTCTTGCCAGCGTGTAAAATAATATATTTATTTTTATTTGCCACACGCACACACACACCAAGCACACAAACACACAAACAGACAGACAGAGAAAGTCCAACCCCGGGACACAAAAAGTGTTTTGTTTTCCTTTCAATTTGTATTTTTATTATTTTCATTTGTATTATTTTTGTGTGCTCATGAATAAAAAAGGAGTAGGAAGCGACAGCGATAGATGGCCCCAAATTGTATGGCTTAGCCCTTTTGTGTGTTTGCCTGGCCCCAAGAAAAAGTTAACAAATTTTCGCATGAATATTTCGCCTTCTCGAAGGGTGACCAGAGGAATAGAAGAGCTGGAAGAGCTGAAAGAGCCAGGACGAGAAGCGACCCTTGGATCCTTCCCAACCAACCCATGTTTCGGGCAATGTTGACATTGTTTGCTGCTGACAGCCAAGTTTTGAGGAATTTGCTTTTAATGGACAGGCCAGACAACGAATACAGAAACGAGAACGGGCGTGAACTTGCCATTTAAATAAAGCGGCAACGGCGGCAACGGCGGCAGCAGCAACGGAAGTCTATTGATTTTCTGTGGCCCGTCTCCAGCGGCCGCTGACTTGGCTTAAAGCCTGGGCCGGCTTTAATCAAAATATTTAGTTAAATGGCAGCCGACCGAATTACTTCATCAGCGCTAACCACGCTCCGGTCGGCAATCATCAAAAGGTCGAACAGATCCGGAGCATCGGCGGCGGTTCAAAGTTCTCGGAGGCGGCAACTTTCCAATTTTCACTGTGTTACCTAATTTTAATTGTCATGCCACCTGATGGCCGTGATGAGGCATCAAACTCATTCTCAGCCTCCATTCCATCTACCTGCCTAAGAAATCTAGGCCTTCTTCTTTTCGGCCAGGTTCATTGTTTGTTTTGCCGTTTTTTTTTTTCCTTTTTTTTTGGTGACCTTTGTTGGACAATCGAGTGCATTGAATTGAATCTACTTACGAGCGGCGATTTCCTTCTGCCGCTGCGCTTTTGTGGCTTGTCGCTGTCGGTTTAGTTCCGATAATTCCCGGAATTTAATTGCCCTTTTCTTGTGTGAATTGTCGGGCTACCAAAAAATTGCCCAGCCTTTCAGCTCTTTGGCAAACGGCCCACAGAGTTTTTGTTTTGGTTTGTATGGAGGTTTTACGGCTGATCAGCCAAAACAATGGCTCGGAAATTGCAAGAAATTATGGGAATGTTGCATCTCTGGAAGCAATTCAGTTGCCGTTTTTGTGGTCGGGAGTGATTCATGAGTTTGGCATCAATACGCTGAGGAATGCCATTTTTGCAGTTTGTGTAAATCCTGAAGGTAAACAAATTTTTCTAGCAGATGTAAAAGGGATTTCAAATGTTAGTGTGCAATGTGGCCTTACACATCGCAGACTAAAGGAATGTTTGACTAATAGCATTCCGTTGCTTGTTTTATTTTTTATGTTTACTAAAATACTAAAATGAAGGATTATTTAAACATGTGGGATGTTTATTTCATCCGCATATAATGCCACTGGTTTTTACCGCAGAGTTTACTTTATATTTTACGAACGTTTAGAAACAGGTTGCTTTCGTTTTGGCCTTAGACCTTCTAGGGTCCATGGGTGCTTTCAAATCTGAACCTAATAGAGTTCCTGGGCCAGGGCCATAAACTGTCGAACATTTACTTTCGCTTCCACCATCGAAGTGGCAGCTTTAACCCCTAGATGCCGATGCATGTTGCCATTGCCAGTGCGAGTCGTAAAACCTGAGCCAAGTTCAGTACCTTTTTAGTTGTTTGCACCTTGCGGGGAGAGAAGGAGGGGAGGGGAGGGGGGTTACGTAACCCTTGGCAGAGGGCCTACATATCAACACCCTGGAGAACAGGTCGGTTGCTATTAGCAGTACATTTCATACATTTTGTAGTGCACATAAAATGTGCTCCCTTTGCCGGCTGTTTGTGTAAACTGTTGACAGGCTGCGCCACAGACGCCAGGGGCGTAGGGGAAAGGGGAGAGGGGAAAGGGGGTGCGCAGAGGGGAGTGCTAAGCAAATGAGCTGCAGTCGTAAAAAAGACAATTGAGCTCATATATTCTACACGTTGGCCTGCGTTGACAGATCGTAAAAAGCCGTCAACTGAAAACTCCGCACCGCCTCGATGCCGAAGACTCCCACATAAATATTAAGATCCGACCGAAAGGCATCGTAAAAAACGCCATCAGATACCAGACACTCGGCACTAGAGACCAACAAAAAAAAACCTAACAAAAAACCAAAAAAAAAAAAGGGCGGAATAGAGCACCCAGAACACCAACAGCCATGGCGATAATGAAGAAAACAGAAATTGATTAATCTCATTAATAAAATGCCAACCTGCATGGTCCGTGCAATCAAGAGCTCCACGAGTATCCCTTAAGTTGAGACAATAAAAAACGCAATCGTAAAATATGAAACAAAAATTCTATGCAGTCCGCTGCAGCCAGAGAGTTAATGCATTTTATGGCCAAGCTTTTGGTTAATTTCCCCCATGAAAAGGGGTTCAACTGTCACCGGGCATAAATTTCAATAAAACCCAAAACTGAGAGCCGAAACTGAAAACCACCGAAAGTCGGGCATAATTTTAATAATTTCTTGTTTTCCTTTTCGGACCGCTTTTTTATTTTTATTGCGCAATAGCTAATTAAAATTTCAATACTAAAATGTTTGCTCATTACGAGAGCTCTTATCAGTGCCTCCCCATCACCATCATCATCAAAATCATCCAGCGAGCCTATTAAACTCGAACATTTCCTCAACTTTGACTCACAAATGAGGCTGCCTGGCGGCGGAGGGAGGTGCTCTTTAAAGCAGGGCAGGTGGATTTTATCTCAGTGTATGGGTAAACAAATGCTTTGTATCTCTGCATGTTCAACTAAAATAAATAAGCGAATATAATGCATATTATACAGAATTAGATATGTGCGTAGATAGCAGCAAGCAGCTCGACCAAACTGCTTCATTTGTTGATCAAGGTGAAGTGATTTAATTAATTGCAGCTGCTCTGTGAGCCAAATCAGTCGAAACAGTCCGGAATTATGCGGGTCTCAGATATCGTTGCTGATATACGAAATTCCTTTGCAGAGAGTCGGGGAATATTAATTGTTCCACATTGTTTGGGGTTGCAGTCCAAGGTCTGTAGAAAACGAAAGACAATTTGATAGAAAGTGAAGGGAATCTAAGCTGGAGACGATGATTAATATACGAAATTTGCATATATGAAATACTTTTAAGATAGGGGAAGCAGCCACATGAGTTTGGAGATGCCAAGGGTGAACTAGAAACAAAACTTGGATTTTAACTATTACAATGTGGAAAATGCATTAATTAAGAATATGTTATCTTTTACCTATGTTATACAAATAAATTTTAATTAAACTAGAACTTCTTCCTTGAAATACAACGATTTTAAAGCTCGACGGAAAACCATTTTGGATATATTTTGGAGAACAAATCAAAGATAAGAAATCATTATCGCCGTTTCTAGGTCGTAAAATTCAGCCGTTTCCTTTTTCCCCCCTCAAAAAAGGGAATAAAATTTACCACTTAGGTGCTTTCATATTTGGTGTTTAAACTTTCCAAGCCGCAGATGCCAGAGCCATTTTCATTAGCTTAGTTAACCTCTATTATTAGCCTCGGCAAAAGCAAATTCAATGACCCCAACCGCAGTCATGTAAGCTCATCTTTGCCATTAGGAGTCCATAACCCATTCCGTGTATCTGAGCAATGGATTTATATATAGGAGTCGGTTTGCTGTGTGAGTATCTGGCATATCAATCAATGGTCAAGTCGGTTCGCTGGCTTGGCCCCTAGATGCTTATCGGCCACTTAATAAATTTCTCTGTGGGGGAGTCCGAGTCTTCGGCCGAAACCGATGATGGAGCCGCTGGAGATGGCATTTGATTTTAAACGGTTTGGCT